CAAACCTAACCTACTGAACCTGCGAAGAAAATACATCAACACAAGGCTACCAACAAAGGAGATGAAGCCGCGGTGGCAAAATATCCACCAAGAAGAGACGCGACTACGGCGGCTAAGTATCCGCCCAAGCGACACGTGTGAGAAGCGAGCGATTACGATTGAGCAGCTCATTTGTTCTACTACTCTAGTACTACACGCTAGCATGATCAAAATGAGTACTACACGCTAGCTTCAAACTTTGATTTGATCAACAATTACTTAAACTAATTGCATGCTCAGAACATAAAAAAGTTGTATAAATGTATTCACGTTTCATGTATCTTTTATTTTATTAACAAAATGATTTCGAAGCAATTGAAGATACCCTGCGGTGTAAACATCTTTTACTATTTAGTACAGTACTAGTACTAGTACTACTAGCTAGTGTTCATTAATTTTCCCCTTTCTTCATTGTTTTCTCTTTATCACACGTAGGACCTCTTCGTTTAGAGGAATTCTGTAGAAATTTGGATGGTTTGGAGGAATGCTGGAGGAATTTGTGAGAGAAAAATACTATTTTGGATGAAAAAAGAAGTGGATGAAGCCGGATTTAAAAGCACGCGAACGGGCCGTACTCGTGTCTTCGTCATCACGTCCGTCTGACGCAGGCGGTTGTGACACAACACTCAATTTGCCGGATCGTGACGTGGCGGTTGTGCGTCGTGCATGCACGTACTCCACACTGCACGCTTCGGTGACGTGAGGTTAACATGTACGCCTTCGTGTGCGTGTCCAGTTTCTGAACGGCGTGTTTGGTCGTCTTCGCAGGTTCAGTGATTCTGAAGGAAACGCAGAGGCGAATTAATGATTTGTTGGAAATTCTTTTAAAAAATATTGAAGCTACCTAGGAGCTTTGCTAACGTGAAACCCGTTGTTTCTAGAAGGCAGAAGCTACCGCACCGCGCCTACTGCATATTATGTGCTGCCGGTACGAAATTAGCCGATCGATCGATAAAATCACGGTGTCAGCAAGCAAATTAAAGAGAAAGTTTTGCAAAGAAGCTAGCTAAAGCTACCGCAATTTCCACATTATAAGAAATTTTGCACAAGACACGCAGCGGTTTTCACGGGAACCAATCCTTCCAAATTCATACGCGTCAATACGTACGCACGCATCCCCGGATCAATGACCGAACCAGGTTAATTATAGAGTATGCAATGATTAGTTTGTTCGGTTTACCGATAAAATTTGGTTGGTGATGGTTTGGTGTGAAAAAAAACACTTTACCGATTTTTGTGAGAGAAAAATATTATTTAAAAAACCAACAAAATATGAGTTTATATGCAATGACTAGATCTTGTTTGGTTTTGGAACCATAATCTGGATGATGCCCGGCCGAGTAGCCAGTCTTATCCGCCGGACGAGAGAAACAGGCCAACAGATCCAACGCACGCAACGCGCGCGACGACGTCACGCGTGATCGCCGCACGTATGCATGACATGCTGCCACGCACACAGCGTCAGCGATCTGCTAGCTAATAAATTAATTTGATCTTGTCCATTTCCATCATATTCGAGACGAGGTGGAGTAGTCCACAGCTAGCTCAAATCTGACTTCAGAAACACGTACTATACTGTACAGGTACATACTCCCTTCATCTTTTTAAAAAAAATAGACATACCATTTTCCCAAAAAAAAACCAAAAAAATCTAACTAAATATATAAATTACCAATATTTATGATACTAAATAACTGCAAGTTTTCACGGTGAAGTTATTTGGAGATATAAATACTGATAATGTTTTATACAAATCTAGTCTAACTTAAAATTGACTAACTCCTAAAAGTAATATATACTCTCTCTTCTAAAATAACCGTATATCTTGTTTAGAGAATGTAGGAATCTACAGTACTCCTTTTAAAACGGATGGAATACAGAAGAAGCGACCGACCGCGAAGAAATCGAGCGCTCGGTCAGAAGTGGAGAAGTTGGAAATGTCCAGCCAGCAAATCGCGCGCGGCCGGCCGGCGACCAACGGGGGAAGACGTGGGCGCCGCTTTCTGATCTGATCTGCCGACGCCGTCATTTGCGAGGAAAAAGTCTGGTGGCCCCGGCGCTGATCTCACCAACAGGTCATCTTTGCCTCGACCAAATTTAAAATTTTCGTATGCATGCATTTCCAGGTGATTCGTCTTGTCATCCTTGTTTAGTTTCTTCCCTCTATAATTTAGTTCAAATGTTTAACGATGTATGGAGTATTAAATATAGACTAAAAAAATAACTGATTGCACATATTGCGACTACTTTACGAGACGATTTTTTAAGCATAATTAGTTCATGATTTGACAATGTGGTGCTACATTAAATATATGCTAATGACGGATTAATTATGCTTAATAAATTTGTCTCACTAGATTATTAAGGACTTGTGTAATATATTTTATTATTACTATCGAACACTCCCATGTGACACCCCCGTGTAACACCCGGTGCCCCTAAACTTTATCTCCTGGATTTAAACACCACCTCAATTATCCAAATTATCCTATTGAAATATTCTCCTACTGTTACTACTCGGCGTCAAAAGGCGAATGGAGCGTTTATAGGGGCTCATTCACCTCTCCCCTTCTCTTCTTGTTCTTTTCTCTTTCTGTAGCTTGTCTTCTTCTCTCTTTCTCTTTTCTTCTTCATCTTCGCGAATGACCAAATTTATATGGACCCGATTGTATCCATCTTGAAATATACACCATGTTTTATTTTATTAGGACAAGGCTTCATATATACATTAAAAACTTACATTATCTGAAGACCGAGGGAATACAAAAGTTTAATTAACTCATGGCTTAATCCAATGGTACTGTGCTGTGATTCCTGTGAACCTATTACTATGTGCCTATTTGGTTGGTTGTATGATCAGCTCGTATGAGCAAATCTAGGTTGGATGGATACGAGGATGTATAGTAGCTTGTAGTATTGTATAGCCTTTCTAAAAATATATCATGTTTGGTTGCGCGTGCCAAGACATAACATATAAGATAAATGTAATAAGCAGGCATCATTATAATGTTTATTTTGTGCACGTATATTTCAATAGTTCTTTGTTTACTCTTAGGCCTTAGTCAGATTAAAAGCAATTATCAAACCAATACTATACTTATTAGTTATATAAACAACGAGCGAACTTCAAAGTATATAAATAATTTCCCTTTCTATTATGTTATACTATGATGGCTTTTCTAAACCAGTGATAAGCAAATAACCAAAACCTACTTTGCTAGGTTTTCCCCAGGTCTTGTGAGGCAACCAAAATAGACCATGGAGGTTTTGGATCTCAATACTAAAGGTGTGTTTGGTTTCAAGCCTCCCTAGGAATTGAAGGTCGTCTGGAAATAGATTAAACATTGGCTAATAAGAGCATCTCTAAGAGACTCTTTATATTCTTCCTAATTTACAGGAATAAAAAATACCATTCAACAGTCTCTTTAATTGGATATCCAAATATAGATATCTTCTAGACTGTGCATAAGATATAGAAAAACTCTTGGAGGCAACAACGATATAGAAAGCGATTTTTGCTCAAATGACTCTCCAAGTGTTGATTTAGAGAATAAATTTTATAAAGGCTCTTGGAGATGCTCTAAGAGCTATGGGCTCTAACCATCAATTAATCCTTATCGGCTCCTATTAGCACATTACTAACCCGGGTTTTGGCTTTCTATCTAGGATCCAAAACCTAGGATTGATTTTTAGACATAGGATCCAACACCCCCTTTTAACAGATGGATGTCGGATTTCTCACAATTACATTGGCCTACGAAAGTAACTAGTCCTACATGTCCAGATATATCTATAGGTAAATCTATCGTAGGACATCCTTCATTGTTGATGGATACTACTTGATGCTGTCTTAGCTAGAGGATACTTTCAATTATGGTAATTAGCTCCTAGACACTTTACCTTTTAAACTAATAGTTTGTATCAACCCAACCCCTGGCTATTCTACCCAATCCATAATAGCTGTTAAAAAATTCATAACTTTTACATGTGAAATTGGATGAAGATGATATTCATATAGAATTGTAGATCTCAATAAGATCTACAACTTTATAGTTGACATGCTTTTTGTTTAAAATCATTTAGAGTACCATTTTTTAAGTTCTTATATTTTAAAATTTAAATTTTTGAATTTTTGAAAGAACTCAAAAGTTGGCATGGTCCATACAAAAGTTACAGTTACCATGTGAACTCTAAAGAACTTCATAGAAAACAAATTCAGGATAAATCTTTTCTATTGAGTCATTTATAGTCCTAAATATTCATTTTATTTTCTTACATTTCAAAATTCAGGATTTTCAAATGGCGAATATCAATTTTAAAATGTCTGACAACGCAGTCACAACACTATTTGCCTTATCCTGACGCGTCACAGCACTGCTGATACAACTCCAAAGCTACCATTCCAAAGCTTCCACGACTCCCCTGTTGCCGGCGGCCGCCGTCACGGTGGCCCCACGGCGTGGCCGCAGTATCGTCACCAACCAGGTCACCTCCCACGCGCTGCGCGTTGGCCGCGCCCCCGTCAGACTCCCCCTCACCCACGTGCTGCCGTCACGGACCGGCCGTCCCGACCAGGGGACCGGGGGCGTGACGGGCCCACCGAACCAACTCAACCGCGGCTGACGCCCCGCCACGCCACCCACGGCCCGCGCGCCGCGGTTGGCGCGAACCCCGCGGTCGCCGTCGTCCTCTCCGGCCCTCCCCCACCACCGGATGACGCCATCCCCGCCCCCTGCTGACCTCACCGCCCTTTATATATCAGGCTACTCCTCCTGCCCGCCCTGCTCATCACAACGACGACGCCCACACAAGTCGCACCTGCTAGCTCCCAACCGAACCCGGAAAAAGGACGCCGTGCAGCTCGCAGCTCGCGGCGAGCGCCAGGAACAGGAAGGAGAGGAATAATGTACCAGGCCATCCCGTACAGCGCCGGCCGGCCGTGGCCGCGGCCCGCGCCGGCGATGGGCGTCGAGGCGGCGGTAGCGGAGGAGAGGCTGCTTGCGGGTGCGCAGCAGCAGCAGCCGGCGCCGGCGGCTGAGGCGGAGGCGGAGGCAGCGGCGAGGGAGGAGGAGGTGCGGCGGGCGGTGGCGGAGTGCCCTGTGCTCGTGGTGGGGAGGCGCGGGTGCTGCCTCAGCCACGTGGTGAAGCGGCTGCTGCAGGGGCTCGGGGTCAACCCCGCCGTGTACGAGGTCGCCGACGCCGAGGCGGAGCTCGCTGGAGTCGTCGACGGCGGCGGCGGCGGCGACGTCGCCCTTCCGGCGGTGTTCGTCGGGGGCAGGCTCCTCGGGGGCCTCGACCGGCTCATGGCCGTGCACATCTCCGGCGACCTCGTGCCCATACTCAAGGACGCCGGCGCGCTGTGGCTCTGATGAGATGCGATCAGGCCGTTCGTTCGTTCTTGCCTCTCCATCGTCAGATCTTCTTTTTCCCTGTCCTTGCTTGGAATGAAACGATGATGGTGTTGTTAACTTATTTTTATTTACTCCTAGATTAGATAGGCATGCACATAGGACTTTAATTCTTTTAGTAGAAAAAAAAAGTATTTAGTACTAGGAGAAATGGAATGCGTATGTTAAGCGATAAGTATTTATATTATTTTTGTATTTCCCATCATGTGAATATGAAAGAGTGCTGAAATTACCTGAGCTTCTTCTGTTTTGGACGTGTCATATATGCGCAGTAGTCAGTACAGTCCATGAACGGTACAGTACAGGTCGTCGGCAGCCGGCTGGATTGAGATTTTCCTCCATACAAACTTTTTTTTAAAAAAAAATACAGCTTAGCACAAGTGTCCGACTTGGACGTGCGTGTGAACGTGTATCATGTTCGTTTATGTTGAAATTTGGTTTATGCTGATGTTTGTGCTGAAATATTGTGAGAAGAAAATCACTGTTTCGTAACTGAAAAGTAGTTCTGAATAAGTTAGCTCAACATGACTGCAGATGAATTTCGTCTGAATTTCCTAATCCAGACATCATTTGCCGACACAGCACCTGCAACCAATATACTGTTCTCAATATCAGTGTCGTCATCGCTTGTACTAAAATCCACGTCGAGTCTAAACTCTAGCCACACAGTACAGGAGGGAATAGTATAGTAGTATTTGTCTCTGTTCGTTTGGCTGATAAGGAATGATTGAAATACTGTTGGTTGATTTATCGTGAGAAAAAAATATTGATCGTTGACTAAAAAAAATATGGCTTATAAACTAAACGAACAAGACGATTATCAGCTGTCATGCAGCCCAAAATTTCAGTAACGGGCGGAGTACAATACAAGCAGGCTATATAGTCCGTAAAAAGTAAAAATAATATATAAATAAACTTATTAGTTTCGTGAGTAACCTTGGGGTAAGGATAACCCGTAAAACTAAGGTTTCGTTTGGAACGGAAGACTTTTTTTCCCTGTAAAAATTTTATACAGTAAAATTCTTGGGTTCCAAACGGCACGGAGTAAGAATGAATTGGTGGTACCCGGAATTGGAAACGCACATGCATGCATTTGGTGCGAAAAATAGCAGCGCTGATGAGTTGTCACGGGACAAAACTTGCACGAAATGAACACCTGGCCGGTGTACCGGCCGGGCCGTGTACGTTCCAAAGGGCTGTCAGACGATCCTGAGATGCATGCACGTACCAGACAGATCGATCGTGCGTCACACTGTCCAGAATGCTACACGCCAACTAGCCAGTACGTGTGCAGTGTCCCTCGATCCAAAAGAAATGGTACGCTCACTTTCATTTTTCCCGTTAGCTGGTGTTAAAAAACCAGTGTGTTTTTTGCTCGAATTATAAAACAAAGTAAGTACTGAAAGGAACTGAACTAATGGAGGATGAGCTGTAGCTGCTGAAAAAAAACAGTTGAGAAATACTGGCCAGGACACGATTGCACAAATAAAATGGAAGCATGTTGATATGACAATTTGCTCGCTTGCTCGTATACGATCGTGGATTATAAGTTGGAATAATATTTTTCTCTCACATTAAACCAACCAGCATTAAATAATACACGATCGTTTACAACAAAACGAACATGCTGACGGACTTTGCTTGGAACCAGTAGGAAATTATCAAAAAGGAAAAGAGTTAAGATGTCAGACTCACCGCAGTGAGGTCAGCATGAACACATCGCACATCGCAGAGCAAAGCAACTCCCAAAGTCCCAACAATTCAACCCGAGAAGCACGTGGCCCGAAATAACTGAGAAAACGACTCGAGGCTGAAAAGCGAGAAATTTCACACACAGCCAATCGGAGTACTACGTATCAATGAAGCACCAGTCGAGTCCAGAGTCGAGATTCTAGAAGCTGGAACGGCCTGAAACGAGCTCATCGCGCAGTTCTCCTGCTGCCAGCAGAGACAGCGAACCGAGAACAATTATATACATGATAAAATACATACACCATAATAGTACGCATAACAACTAAATAAATATTTATGTTAAAATAAAAAACTAACAGCTAAGAACAGAGATATTATAAAGGAAAAAAGAACAATATTAACTAGCAGGCCTCAGACCTTCACCTGATCAATCTAATTCTATGGTCAGAAAAAGATTCACGATGATAATAGGAACAAATGAGATAAGAAAGATCACAGGAAGGTTAAATCTGAATAATGTAGATGTCACTGGGGATCAATTTAGAGAGAGCAAACGAGCAAAGCACTAATTATAATTAAATAGCTAATTAGAAGGTGTACTGTGTGAACAAATTAGATGTTTAATAAAAAAGCACAAACAGCACTATTAACTAGCAAATTGCAGACTTTTGGAACGGAGAAGTATAGTACAAGATTGTGAGTGAGCATACTCCAGTCCAACCCATGCGCGGAGCCAAGGCCCGGCCACATGGGCCGGTGGCCGAGCTCCTCCGCTGGCTGCTGCAGACATAGCTATCGTACAGACCCTACTAAAAAAAAGTTGTTTCTAAATAAAACTCAAAAAGGAAAGCTAATATAGGGATGAGGTAGTACAGAGATGAGGCAGGGAGCAGGCGCCGCCTAGGATTTAGTGATTATTTTAGTTTAAAACTTAAAACTATTTTGGTCGTATAATTTTGCATGTAAATTATATAATTATGTGTCCTATTTTACATAGCTTTGTTAGGGCACTGAAAATACTAAAAACCATAGATAATTTCAATGTCTATTAACTTATGTAGACAATATACGTAGAAACTACTATCTCCGTCTCACAAAGAATGTCATTCTTGCTTCCCCAGAAGTAAAACTTTTTAACTTTGACAATTATGTAAAAGAATATTAATATTTATAATACGTAATTGGTACCATTAGATAAATCTCGGAGTATATTTTCATAATAAATTTATTTAGTAATACAAATGTTGCTAACATTTTCTATAAAAATGGTCAAATTTAAGAAAGTTTGATCAGCACGAATCATAACATCTTTCTTTTTGTGATGGAGGGAGTATATTTCTGCTGGATAGTGTCTACACAATAATCTTTTGTCCAACGATATATCTTTTCTCTCCTTTGTCTATATCGGTGTTTCGAGTTGTCACCGGCTAGTAAATTTCTAATATTGCGCGTCTGGCTCGGATGATGTGCTAAGAGGACACAAGGTTTATACTGGTTCAGGCAGAATGTCACTACGTCCAGTTCGTTGCTGCTGCTCGTGTTACTAGCACTGAAAGTTCATAGTACGGGTCACAAACGGATGAGAGAGGGACATGTCCCAGGTCTCTGCTGGAAAGGGTGAACGGGTGCCGAGAGCTCGGTCGCTGCTCGATGGTATGTTCGGGGTTCGATGAGTTGATCGGATTCGAGTCTCTTGTGGTGTGTTGCGATGAGTCCCAATGGTCCCTAATGGGACGCCCTGCTTTCCCTTTTACAGGCCAAGGGAAAGCAGGGGTTACAGCGGAGGAAAAAAAGGAGAATCATAAGGAGAAGAAATCCTCTAGGATCATCGGATTCTTCTTCTCTTCTATGCGGGTCCCGTCGACCCTGTAGACGTCGACACGGACAGCTTCACGTCGCGGCCTTGTCCGTCACTGGCGCCATGTGCAGGCGTCGTCTGCCGGTCATGGCGCTCCACTGTCCCCGGGCGTCGTGGCGAATCGCGTCCGTCGCGGTGTTGTCTGACGGGTTTAAGCGAGAAACAGCTCGCGATACGATCGACGTTGTTCCTGACATGAACCCCCAGGTGTAGCCCATCGTGGGTCACGGGCTACATCGAGGCGTGCCAGTCACTTCCCTGACGTCAGAACTTTGACCCAGGCCCATACGCTTGGACTTGAAGTGGTTGGCGGCGGTATGGGTCTTCGTCGGGCGAGACGGAGCCCGTAGCCTCGGAGTCGGGCAAAGCGGAGCGCAGACCCAAGGGTCGAACGAGGCGGAGTCCTCCCCTAGAGGCCGCGCGAGGCGAAGCGCAGACCAAAGAGTCGGACGATGCGGAGCGCAGACCCGAGGGTCGATCCAAAAGAAATGGTACGCTCACTTTCATTTTCCCCGTTAGCTGGTGTTAAAAAACCAGTGTTTTTTTTTTGCTCGAATTATAAAACAAAGTAAGTAATGAAAGGAACTGAACTAATGGAGGATGAGCTGTAGCTGCTGAAAAAAAAACAGTTGAGAAATACTGGCCAGGACACGATTGCACAAATAAAATGGAAGCATGCTGATATGGACTTTGCTTGGAACCAGGTAGGAAATTATCAAAAAGGAAAAGAGTTAAGATATCAGACTCACCGCAGTGAGGTCAGCATGAATACATCGCACATCGCAGAGCAAAGCAACTCCCAAAGTCCCAACAATTCAACCCGAGAAGCACGTGGCCCGAAATAACTGAGAAAACGACTCGAGGCTGAAAAGCCAGAAATTTCACACAACCAATCGGAGTACTACGGCCTTGTTTAGATGACCTCTAAATTTCAAGTTTTTTCACTCTCTCTATATCACATCAATTTTTGGACGCATGTATAGAGCATTAAATGTAGATAAAAAAATAATTAATTACACAGTTTAGTTGTAAATCACGAGATGGATCTTTTGAGCCTAGTTAGTCCATGATCGGATAAAGTTTGTCAAATACAAACAAAACATGTTACAGTATCCAGGTTGCAAAAATTTACAATCTAAACAAGGCCTACCTATCAATGAAGCACCAGTCGAGTCCAGAGTCTAGATTCAAGAAGCTGGAATGGCCTGAAACGAGCTCATCGCGCAGTTCTCCTGCCGCCAGCAGAGACAGCGAACCGAGAACAATTATATACATGATAAAATACATACACCATAATTGTACGCGTAACAACTAAATAAATATTTATGTTAAAATAAAAAAACCAACAGCTAAGAACAGAGATATTATAAAGGAAAAAAGAACAATATTAACTAGCAGGCCTCAGACCTTC